CGAAGAAGACAGCTCGGACTCACTCTTAGATAGAGTCATCCAGACTCGACCAGAGTAGGGGGGACTAGATGATATGGGATATCATATGGCTAAAGAACAGACAGGCCCATCACGTCGGACAAACCGGCATAAGTTGGGAGAAAATCGCGTGGGTTGAAGGATGATCGACCAAAGCAGAAGAGATCGAGCAGAATGGCAGGGTTGGTCGAGGATCGACCTGGCGAGGGGGAGCTCGATTATATCGAGCACGTAGCAGGAGGCAGTCGAGAGCGTGACCTGAACGTGAGTAGGCGCGTGGGCGATATCAAGGGATCCCAACGGCCCACGCAAAGGAATATTTTCCCTCAGCTCAAAAGGGGACACGTGGCGAGAACCTAGTGGTGCAAAGTAATAGTGGCAATAACCACCTCTGACGTCCCTGACATTTCTGACAATACACGTACTGTGTGTGTACGGACGGGCAGCGCGGGCAGGACAGCTCACCAAATATCCGGGCAGCTCTTAGGGCAGGTATCTCACTCCTATATATAGAGGAGTGGGTCTTTTCTTAGGGTTTACGATTTATCCATTCTTTACTTTGGAAAATTGAACAAACATATACTGACTTAAGCATCGGAGGCTCTTCACTGGAAAACCCCTCCGGTGTGAGAGTTTTGTGCAGGAGCGCGGCGTTCTATCGGCGAGGAAGAAGGAAGCAAACCGATTTCAAGCCGGTTGGAGTGTTTTGCGTTACCATAATCAAACCCAATATCCTAGCATTCAACCTTCAATACTTTTCCTTTTATCTTTCTTTTATTTTACACAGATTTTCTCTCTTCTTCTTCCCTTTTAAAATGCAAACTAGCATACAACATATTTTTTTCAAGCGGTGTCATTGTGCGAAATACTTATGCCAATGTACATTATCGACGCATTGGTGTGCGTTTGGTCTATCACTATTGTGTATTCTGTCAGCATCTTATTTATCACTATTGTGTAGTCTACATTGCGGATATTTTTTATGTGCAAATTCAAATTGAAATCAAAAGAAATGATCGATTTATGCGATTAGTTAACTAAATTAACCTAAATAATTGAAATAAATATTATTTACATTATAAAAACATATTAATTATTTTAATATTTTTATCTAACACTTTTTATCATTTTCAGTTGAAGATACATAATATACATATATATATGTATAAAAATATATATAAAAAATATTATTTTTTATAATTTTTTATAAGTTATAGATTTGGCCCTTGGGCTAAATTGTTGTATATCAAAGTTATTGAAATTGCAAATGGAACCCTAAAAACTATCTAATTTTCGAATGCATGCCCTAGACACATCCAACATCTCGTTTGTTTGCTAGCCCGAGCAGGAGCCTAGAGAATTTGTTAACGAATCAATAATAGGAGAAGGTTATTGGAGAGATTCAGGCGGCGGAGGTCGAGGCGGCATTAGCAGAAGTCGAGGTGTCAGCAGCGGAGGTCGAGAAATCGGAGCTTACTGACCGTGATGTGTGAGGAGGGGATGATGACTACAGCGACACGCCGTCGCGATGGAAGCGTGGTAGGCGGCGGGTTGCAGCGGGGCTGCGGTAGGTTCTCGGGCGGCGGCGAGCGATGGGGCTGCGACAAACGGTGGTTTTCTCTACGTATGTGTGTGTGTGTGTGTGTTGTGCGGCTGTGCGTCGGAGGAACAACGTCCGTTGCGTCTGATGGCTGTGCGGCGGCGATAGGTGGTGCGTCGGTGGGAGGTGGAGGTGAGGGGGCGGCCGTCTGTGTGTGTATCTGTGTGTGCAGGTGTGTGTACTGTGCGCATGTGTGTGGTGTGTGTGTGTGTGTGTGCGCGCGCGCGTTTGTGAAAGAGAGGTTGGTTGGGATGGTGTGATGGATAGTGACCTTGTGTCATGTAATTATTGGGTATGAACGAGTAGGTAACTGGTATGAGTCCCACGGTTTGATAATAAAATGTCCAAGATACCCTTAATGAATGTATAAAGGTTGGATTTTTGGTACTGGTTTCCCGATTTTGTCGTCTGATCTGATGGCTAAGATTTATTCTTATTTCTTTCACTGAGCATCATTCTCACCGGAGCGCATATATAGGGAGAGTGGGGAGAGAGAGAGAGAGAGAGAGAGGTGAGAACGGTCTGACGGGATGGGTCGGCCCATAGTCCACCAAAGCCTGCATATAGACGAGGGGAGTGGGGAAGGAACAAGCCTAATGTTGACAGTCGACCATTAATGGTTACGATTGATATTAATTGGGCAGTTAAATCGGGGCTTACGAAATAATAAATACAATCTTGAAAAAATATATAAATCTATTTTATATATTTCTTAGTGCTGGGAGGTTATGGAGTGTGAATAGTATGTTTTTGTTAAAAACATAATAAATCTATTTTATTAATTTTTAGTAAAATACAAATGAAAAAATCATAATAGCAATATTTCTTTTATTAGTTTTTCTGTTCACAAATTCAATCACACAAATTTTGACTTTTTACATCCAAATTGACCGGTGCAACACAAAAATGTAGAGCCGCTATGGCTTATGGCTCCTTCCCTTATCGGAAGCCTATAGACTAACCCTTCAGACAAACTCTGGCAGGGTTTGAAGATTCCGTAGATCGTTTATAGAAGCAGATAAGTGTGCTTTCTGGTGTTGTGCCGGGTTTCTATTTCTGGTAGAGAGAGGCTATTTCGAGGTCCAAGGTTTGTGTTCGTAACTTTGTATCTTCTTCTTTGGATTAGAAATCGAGGGTTTATAATTTATGGCAATTCATTTATTGATGCTTGTATTCGTAACCACCTGATAAGAATAAGTTCTAATCCAAGTATGACTTATTATTTGTGCCATTTACAATTTGTAATTTCTTATAATCCATTTTCTTGGCGCTATTCTTTTCATTTCACTCGACGAGAAAATACTGTGATCCACTCACCTAAATATATTTGAAAATATTTTTAGAAGGTTCTTATAGTGTGTGCTTGAATGAAAACTTCTGATGCGAAGTCCTGGGGTGGATTTAATTTATCAACCAATGGAATTGACCCAAAATAAAAAAGACTCTTCTCTCGATTGTTTTCTAGGCAGCATACTGTCAAAGAATATGTAAAATAGTCTGTTTTTGATGTGTTGTTTTATTGTGTTTGATTTATAGGAAGTGCATATTAGCTTTGCCAAGATACTTTTAGTTTTAGTTGTATATGTGAATATGTGTTGTTTATGTCATGAGAATGTAAAGATATTGTTAACAAATTTAAATTCTAACTTCTTCAACAAACATGGAGTTGCAAACCTTCAGTCACTGCTCGAGTTCACAAAAAGCGATTATGGGTTTGGCCCCAACCCTCCGACATGACTTTGAAATCTAGTTATAGGACAGGGATGCTACGTGAAATTCCCTGTCATGGGAAAAACCTACACAGGCCTAAAGATTAAGGAAATGTAACTCTCAGCACAAGTGAACAGAGGTTTAGAAAACCATATAGCCACAAAAAAACAGTGTAAGTTAGTGATAAATTTTCAGATATGAAACTTTTTCAGCTTCCAACTAACGACAATTGACAGTTATTCACGATGATGCAAACAGAAGGTCCAAATTCACAGTGACATAAGAAATCTCACTCAAAAGCCTCTGCAGCCCTTTGGGAGGCATAATTTGAATATAGTGCTTAATATTTATTCAACCTAGTACACAATGTCTAAAGAGATAAAAAAACAGAGCTTGCATGCATGCAATTTTTTGGCTTGAACAATCCATTCTGTACAGAGAATAAATAATTGTCACTCGCAAAGAAGCTGAATCACACAATAGCTACCATGTGAAAGATATTAAATGAAAGAGTTTGTCAAAAGAATTAAGAAAAACACCCCACTCTACGACTACGACTACTTTCCGTGAATTAAATAATAATCTAGAGGGCCTAATGGACAATTTGCATGATATAGTGCTCCTCTATGATATGTATTCAAGCGGTGTTTTGGGAGGCCATTTGCATGATATGGCGCTCCTCTATGATATGTATTCAAGTGGTGTTTTAGGGGACCATAAATAAGGCAACAAAAAATCCATATTGTACCAGGTATAATAAAGGGCTCATCTCGACCCAATAAATGAATATTTGCACTCACGATTTAATTCACAAAACTACACTTACATTTTATGATGCATTACAAATCACTAAAACAAAAACAATAATCAAAACAAAATTTGCCCACATCATTAAGTATAACATTAAAGAATGAAACTTTAGCATAATCTGTCCACATCATTAAGTATAACATTAAAGAATGAAACTCTAGCATAATCATATATTCTATAATGCATCATATTTTGCTTACTCGGGACAAGTATCAAGCAATTGCTCGACAGAGTCATCCAATGGGTGCCCGAGTTTCTTCTCCTATTCCTTCTCAAGCTCCTTCAGCCACAAAATTGCATGCACTCGCTGCCTCATGATTATGTATTACTTTGCCAGCCTTTCCATTGTGTAAACTTCTGGATTCTCCTTATGCTTCTTGTACATCTCTGAATCCTTCAAGTACGATCACCTGGCCCCAGGCTCTCTCACATTCGTTCGAAAAATTTCAATTATCACTAAACAAATTTTGTTTTCAGAACCTGAAACTTTTCCTTCCTTGGATAAAAATCACTACCACAAGCCGAGAAAGAAACAATTTGAAACCGATATGCATTTGAATATCTCTTGTAGTATGCTGCACTTCTAATAACACCATACACATATATTCAAACAACTATAAAAGGCATAAAAATGACGAGAGAAAACGTATGAGCGTGTGTTGCCTGATCATAAAAATTACTACAGGACGTACAGGAAAATCATCATAAAAATTTAGAATCAACAAAATAGAAGAAGAATTTCTTCTTCTAAAACAACAGTGGCGATCAAAATTTGATACACAATTAAAAACACGAAACACAGTCACAAACAAGAAGGAATACAATAAATTGCAACTAAATCATCATGAAAGGAAAATAACATTTAAAACATTCCAGCAATAATAATAATAGTAGTAGTAAAAAGATGAACCTGCTTCATCAAAACAGTCGTTTCATCCATTCTATCATCCCAGCTATCCACAAAAGCCTTCCCCTTGCGGTTTGCAGTCTCCAGTTCGTTCATTTTCTTGATCTCCTCATCTGTCCACCTCACTTCTGAATACAAACCGCCCTCCTTCGGGCCACCCATTCCACCAACACTGGGCTTGCTATGGCCCGCATCTGATCTCACCTGCTGCCCAACAACTTCACCATCAAAGTGTTCTTTCGTGAGCCCAGTGGACCATGATGATGGGCCCACATCCCATCCTAGGGATTCGGGGCCCGACGACCCAGTTCCACCGAAATGGGCCGCCCAATCAGACTCATTTTTTCTGCCCTCGTCCTGGGTAGAAAAGGCTCTTTGAATAACAGGGAAATGACTCATGTTGTGTAACTTTATCGATTTAGGGTTAGTTTTGATGGAAAGCTCTGAGAATGCACGAAGAAGGATTCGCATGTTTTTTTTTTCTTCCTCAAGAAAGGAAGCAAAACAGTGCTACTCTCAGTATTCTTCAACTAATGATATTAGCAGGACAATGACTTTAGGTCAGGCAAAGGCACAACACAAGCCCTACTGCAAAGAGTATATATCAGTGGCAAAACATGAATAAACAATAAATATTAGAAATTCATGTACATGTATACGTAAGAAAAAGTCTCTGAGTTATAGGGTGTAACCAGAACAAAAAGAACACATTTTCTGTTTTAAAAAATTCCAAACGAAAAAAAAAGAAGAGTAAAGAGATAGAATCTTTCAGCTATTTTCTTATATCAAAGGTTGTATTCGAGTTTTCGATTCTTTTCAACTGAGCTCGTTCCAAATGAGCAGCTAAATTTTCGCACATGCTCATGATTTCATAGAGCCTACCCCAACTTGCTTGGGACTAAATGTTTTGTTGTTGTTGTTGTTGTATGCTCATGATTTCATAGCTAACCATCGAATTTAGTTTATCAGACAAAGCAATTAAACATACAGAAAATGCATTCAGAAAAATCCAAAGCTTGAATAAACAAAATGAGAAATTAGAGTTATAGCGTAGGTAGCGAAAGCGTACCGTGATATAGGGACCTACAGATTTTTTACCAAAGTGAGAAGATGAAGGGATCTGGGTTTAGTGAGCGTGTTTGTGAAATTAGGGGTTTAGCTGGGGTCAAATGTGTATTTCGAGAAACAACCGGGATGAATATGCAAAACCATAAATTGGATGACCCATACGATCTAATAAATACGTTACTGCATCCAAATGGATTAAATGGTATGTCCAACCCAAATAGTCTTATTTGCCTGACCCCCATTGCGACGAATAAACTTAATGGGCCTGTCCAATCTTGTCGTCTGGGGTCTTCTTCTTCCTCCCTCGTTACACCTCAGGTGCATTAATCTTTCAACGAAACCCTAATTGAAGAGTGAGTTATTATTTATTTGATAAATTTTCCGCCATATCTCTTGTAATTTGCTGTTGATAGCCCGATTACAGTTGAATTTTCACAGATACACATGGATGTGGCCGCCGAGACATCGTACAAGCCACCGACGGGTTTTGTGGAGGATAAAAGGGACCCGCTCGTCGACCTCGAATTGACAGAGTCGACTGAGCTATGGCTTATTCAGTGGCCAATCAATCAAGTACTTTTTCTTTTCTCTACGAAAATGTCATCTTTTTGTTTGTACATTGATTAATTATCTCGCTGATTCGTAGCTCTATGGATGTAAATTGATGAACGAGTTTAATGCGTTACAGCCTCTTGATTTCAATGGGCAATCGGTGTCGTTGAAGCTTGGCCGCGATGGGCACTTGGGCACCTTGGAGGGGTCTTCTGGTAAGTTGTGGTCTTGTGGCGTATTTGGTTGTATTTCTGGTTTGCTGTTAGAATCTGCTTGTTCAATGATACTTTTGGGTAACCTTGGCAGGAAAATCATGTGAAATGGTTGGTTGTAAGACCAATGGTCCAGAGGCTAATGTCTTCTTAACTTCAACAGCGGAGGCCAAAATCGGTATCTCTTGCTCCTCTCTCTTGAATTTACTTGTTTCTTTCCTTAGTCATTGTTGGTATTTTGATTAACCATAGTTAATATCATTTGAAATTATCATGGGACTATTTCTAGTTCATAATGGAACTCTATTTAGATTCTGAAGTATAGATATCAGCGAAAGTGGGTTGTCCAGCCTTTGAGTATAGTGATTATTTCCTGAGGAAGTTCGAGATTTCTTTCGCTCTAGTATACACGAGTTTCTTTTGAAATTATAACCTCGGCTGAATCCTAGGAACATTTTTCTATAATAAGTTTTGACTTCGTGAGTTAAATGTTAAGACTTAACATTAGGTAAACGAACTTTCGCTGAATTTGATATCCTGCATCTATCATCATCTGTACACAGCTGAAATAATACATTCCTAATAACCCCAATTGTAGTCATCCCAGTAAATCGTCACATGTAATTAGCTGTAGAATCCAAACCCCTCAAACTGAACCACCATTTTTTCCTTCACTTTCAATTCTTTCCAAACAAATCAAATGCACCAAAAATCCAAATCTAGAATCACTACTTGACTAACCTAAACCCGATTTAGTCCCAGATAACGATGGCCTGATCATTGGATGATGACCAAGCGACTGCTGAGAATTCGAAGGAGAACCAAACATGGCATTAGAGGTTGTTGATGGTGGTGGGTGTATAGCCGAAAGGGGTAGCCTCGGGCCAAGCCCGTACATCATCGACATTTGGGGATGCATTTGCTGGCTATTGCCATATCCAGAGAAAAGACGGTTGAGGACCTGAAACTTGTCTAATATTTCCAGAAGTGTTGTTATGTATCATAAGATTGCTAATGCCAGGTAGGCTTGTTGGTTGGGCTAATCCACTACTGGATCCAAACTGGGCTGACATCATGAGGGCCCGCTCAGCAGCAATCCTCTGTCTTGTCCTTTCCATCTGTTCGCACTCTTTCATTAACATGGTCTTGATTTCTGCAAACTGCTTCAGCTTCAGCTCTAATCTTTTTAACTGAAAAGGCGAAAAGAAATCATGTTAAGCACCAACTTAACTAAAATATAGAAATCCAGGTCATAGTTCAAATCCCATTTATGGATCCCATAGAACTAGAAGTACAAAGATGAAGAAAATCCACAACATTGTAAGTTTGTAACTCAAGTCACTAGCTTTTCTTGGTAAATATATTATGACCAAATCGAGACTAATTGAACTGATAGTTCTTGCATATACATGGCACTTGACATTAGGCAGCCCGTTCATGAACACCATGGAACTAAAAATATAATAAAGATACGAAAAAAAGAATATAACCACATATTTTGACTAGAATATTCAATTCAGCAAACACACGCATAATTACCTGATGATTTACGATATTAGCAGATAATCGTTGGATTTCACGCTCTTCGTGATCAGCAAAAAGCTTCGCCTTCAATGCTGCAGCAACAAGACCGTCTTTTGCTGCAGCTATCACCTTTTCAGTTGATAATTGAACACCTTCAGTATCATGTTGGCTCGCAGGACCTTAAGAGAGACAACCAGAGATGCATGCAAAAAAAAATAAATCAGAAGACGATTTCTTTAGGAAACAAAAGAGAGAAGGAAAAAGGAAGAGAAAAAAACTATGACATACCATTTGTCCTCAATCTAGTGATTCCTCCATTAGAACTTTCTTCTTTGTCAATATCTTTAGAAAGTGAAGCCAAGGATGCATGGGCACAGGCAGCAGCCACCCTTGGCCCTAGCACAGAAGCAAGAAAGGCTACCTGTAAACAAAATTGGATGGATTTTATGAGAACATTTTACATACTGCAGTAATATGGAAGTTCCTAGCTTCAAAGGAAGGGATACAATTGAACAAGGCTTAGTTAAAGAATGAAAAAATAGAAGCTTCAGCCTTAGAAAAAGGCGCTTTTTTTTAAATTTTTGTCGGCCAAACCGCCTTTGGCAGTTTGCGGTGGATAGATCTCATCGAGCTCTACAATTCATAGGTCATGGGTCCAAAACGGACATTTCTACGCAAAGTTATGGCCTTTCAAAGTTTTGCTACCAAACAACTCATTTTCCTGCAGGGCAACGCAGGAGCCTCTCTCGAATTGGCTTCCATTGTGTTGGATTAGACATTTGAAAATTTGCTACTACAACAACGTCTTGTATATATAGTATATACATATATATTATAATATATATAAATATGAATATATATTATATATCAAATAAAATAACTTGTATGACATTAAAATAAAAATAAAGGTTAAAAACAACGAACACGAAGATGTCGAACATTTCGAAGTATATATGCAGTATGTAATATCTAGTATAGTATATAGTATATAGTGTATAATATAAAGTATATAGTATATAGTTTGTAGTATGTAGTATCATGTATAAAATATGTAGTATGTAGTATATAGTATTTTGAATTGTAGTATGTGGTATGTAGTATGTAATATCTATTATATAATATGTAATTTACACTTTATAATATGTAGTATGAAGTATATAGTATATACATATACTTTAAAATATGTAGTATATAGTATATAGTATATAGTGTATAGAATATAGTGTATAGTATATAGTATATAGTATATAGTATATAGTGTATAGTATATAGTGTATAATATAAAGTATATAGTATATAGTTTGTAGTATGTAGTATCAAGTATATAATATGTAGTATGTAGTATGTAGTATTTTGAATTGTAGTATGTAGTATGTACTATGTAGTATCTATTATATAATATGTTATTTTTTACTTTATAGTATGTAGTATGTAGTATGAAGTATATAGTATATACATATACTTTATAATATGTAGTATGTAGTATGTAGTATGAAATATATAATATATACATATACTTTATACTATTTAGTATGTAGTATGAAATATATAATATATACACATACTTTATAATATGTAGTATGTAGTATGTTGTATGTTTGTATGTTGTATGTTGTATGAAGAATATAGTATATACATATAATTTATAATATGTAGTATGTAGTATGAACTATATAATATATACATATACTTTATAATATGTAATATGTAGTATGGTTTATTTGAATTTGGTTGGATTGTTTATTTGGGATTTGTTTGAATGATTTATTTAAAACCATTGTTGTGGTATTTAGGGTAGATTGGTTGATTTGTTAATCTATTTTTGGTTTATTTGTTTGTTTTGAATATTTAAAATATGTTTTTTTGGGTTAAACAATTGAAAAAACTTGTTTTTTAAAAATAAAAATAAATGAATGAAACGTATTTTGGTTATACGTTTTAGTGAATAAAACGTATTTTAGTTATACATTTTACAAATAATTAATGAATAAAACGTATTTAGGTTATACGTTTTACAAATAATTAATGAAGAAAACGTATTTCGGTTATACATTTTTGGGTTTAGGGTTTAGGGTTTAGAGCTTAGGGTTAAAAACGTATTTGCACAATACGTTTTACTGTTTTATGAGTTTAAAAATATGTTTTTTTCTTAAAAATTATTTTCTTCAATAAATATATTATAAAATTAATTTTATTTATAAAATGTATTTGTAAAATATGTTTTAAATAGTTTTATTTATAAAACGTATTTCTATAATACGTTTTATAAATAAAATTATTTAAAACTATTTCAATAATACGTTTTATAAATTAAATTATTTAAAACGTACTTAAAAAATATGTTTTACTTATTATTTAATTAAGTTCATAATATAATTAATTTAATTAACTTTAAAACGTATTTTGGACGTATGTTTTTTTTTAATTAAAAAGGTCTTTTAAAAATACGTTTTTTTAATAAAAATGTATTATCAAAATACGTCCTTTTGATTTTGGTCCACACCTTATTTTTTCTTTTTATTTTTGTCCACTTAATTTTTTTATTTTTTAATGTGGTTAAAAAACCCCGAATTCTGGCTCCCACATACAGTACCCCTTTTGTTTCTACAAATTATTATCCATTGGAAAAAGGTCTTACAGAATTTAGAACATTCAAGACGTTGTCTTAAAATTTAGTTTATTTTAATTTTTTTTTATATATATTAGTGGGAAAGCATTCGTTCTGCTAAAACAATTGTCGGTATACGTAAT